GGACCAGAGGACAGAGGGACTAGATGGACCAGAGGGCAGGTGGACCAGAGACAGTTCCACTCTCCTGTCTCCACTTCAGTCTGTCAGATGAGACATGTCCCTCTGTGCTGCAGACTCTCAGCTGTCGTCTTGTGATGTCTCACTGAGCTCTGTCCTCTGAGGGTCCGGCAGGTCGTAGTAGATCCTGCTGACGTCCAGCTGTCTCCTGTAGGACAGGAAGTCCTGCAGCGAGTACTCGTCCCTCTGTGCGGTCCACACTGTGAGAGAGTACCTGTGTGACTGCTGCAGCAGCCAGCTGAGCTCGGAGAAGGACTGGGAGAGGAGAGCGGCGCGCACTGGGAAGGTGACCGGGTGTTCGAGACCCCTGCACAGCTCCTCCATCACACGCACCATGTCCCAGCTGTACCCTGGGCTGTCTGTCCCTGCAGTCCACCCTGTGGTCCAGCCCAGAGACAGCACAGTGTGAGACGGGAGAGCTGTGGCAGCAGACAGGAAGGCCTGAGGCTCCAGAGGTCTGACCTGTCCCCCAGGACCTGACAGGATGTCTGCGTTGATCCACACGGGACGGCTCAGCTGGTCCAGCTCGTCCTGCAGCAGGTGGACAGATGGAGACACCGCGTCCAGGCTCTTGAAGTCCAGCTTGATCCCCTTGTCCTGCGCCTTCACTGCCTGCAGCCACTCCTTCAGTGTGATGTCGCTGTCTGTGTCAGGGGGGTGCGCCATGATCGGCTCTCTGGGGTCATGACCTCTGATGATGACGTCGGCCTCGAGCATGTGAGTGTGACCCGTGAGAGCTTCCGTCAGCCGGCTGCGGCTGTTCACAGCGTGAGACCAGCTGACCTCAGCAGCGTCCCTCCTTTGTATGTGACCCCGGCTCATCAAGTACTCCAGAGTCTGCTCCGACATCTTGTCTTCACACCGCACAGGACGGAACCTGTCACGCGGCCGGTGAGCTGCGGAGGTTAAAGCTCACACTCTGCTTCAATAACAAGAGCCGAGGAAGAACAACGCGCGTCACTTCCTCCAGCTGCACTAACACGAAGCCAAACAGCTCACATACAGCCGCTGCCATCTTGGATGTTTGGAGCCATGTCGGGAAGTGGAGCCAGGGGCTCCTGTTCCCGCCCATTCACCCGTTCGACCAATCACGAGCAGCGTCATTGATTGTGAGCACGCTGATTGGCCAATACGGCTGTCAATCATGACGTCACAGTTATAACCTCAGAAGGGCTCTGTATGTGCTGTAATACATTTGTGTTGCGTTGTAAATCCCTCAAATATGTTAAATAGAAATTTACAAACAAACTGCTGAACTCTGTAAAACTGTATGAATGAACAGACACTGGAAAAAAATGCTCCACTTTGAAAAGAAGACCAAATAACTTTGTTTTCTATAATTTATGTTGTATTGTATGGTATGGTTGTATGGTCCAAAAATTCGAGTTTCATAATTTAAAACAAACAAATTCATTCAGTGATTTTGAACATGTAGATTCGGATTGCTCATATTCTGTTGGTCAAACTCAGATCTAAAAATTCCCAGCACCTTTCTGCCCAATAAAAACACCATGTGGTCACAGGCCCTAATCCAATTTGATTTATTTGCATTTTACCATCTTAAATTTTTAAATTTTAATTTTACTTTTGAAATAACAAAACTTAAATTTCTGCATCTGATTTGTATACACTGGCAATATATATATGTGTGTGTATATATATATATATATATATATATATATATATATAATAGTAATAATATAATCAAATCTGAGCAATCTGAATCTACATGTACACTTTTTTGTAATTAAGGAATTAGCCTAATTTATTCTATTTTTTTTTATTATGAACTGGAAATTTTTGGATCTGAATTCATGAACACTGAAAAACATTTTCACATTCAGCTTTAAAAATTGCAAATCAAGAAATGTCATGTTATAATTTCAAAGAGGTGAATTCTGAACACATACATTTAGATAGGTGTCAGAGTAAAATATTTTAATGCTATGAATTCAGTGGTGTGTACTTTTTAATATTAAATATTCAGTGACTTAAATGACTTAAATTCAAATATATGCAACCCCCTCTATAGCATCACAGAACCAATTAAAGCCAAACTTATCAGGGAAACGATCATTTAAAAACACAGTAGAGTGAGAACATGTTCCTAAAATAACAGAAGCATCTTTAGGAAAAAAATATTTGACCTTTACTTTGACTTTTAGCTGGTGTCATGTCCCGTCTCTGTATGAGCTGTACTGCAGCAGCCACCAGGGGGCGATAGAGATGTTTTGCCGCTGTCGTTGGTTTTCATTCTTCTTCTGCTGTTTTGAAAGCGACTCACTCAGGAACACAGATGTAAACTATCGCCTCACTCTGGCCTTCATGTGTAATGGCGGACAGCGTAAAGTTTTAAAACTGAAAACTTGCAACCAACGAGTGAAAAAGAAAAGCAGCTAAAATGAGAGCAGCGTTTTCTCCGCCGTGTCTTTCCTCCTCGTGTCAGGTGTTCAGAGTCCAGACAGGTGACCTTCATGTCGCCCAACTGAAAGTGAAACTAAAAGCGAAACAGCTAACGTTAGCTAACGTCAGCTAGCCGCGGGCTGTGACGGGAAACACACGGTAAGTCACCAACATGACTCAATAACATCAAGTTAACGAACATATTAATGTGTCGCAGGTTTGTTAAGCTACATATCAAACAGCAGTGAGGACAGAGGCCGCCGTACATTGTTAATACGACTTGTTGAAGTTATAAGCTAACGCTAGCTAGCTACTGTAACGTTACTTACCAAAGGCAATACATTAAAGTAGCGATTTAGTGAAACGAAGGTCTGAGGCTCGTTAAAATGTCCGTAATGTGTCCAGGTGTCAGTGATGCTGTCTCTGTGCATGCTGGGAACACATCGGCTAATGTCTGGGAGCTAACTGTGTTTACACACCAGAGTACTGACAGCAAAGTGTGGTGGGTTGGTACTTTCATTACTACACTCTAAACTCTACTCATGTATTTCTATTTTGTGCAACTTTATTCTTCCATTTCACTAACTTACTTCTCAGAGGGAAATATTGTACTTTATTGCACCAGACTATTTGCATTAAAGTCAGATTAATAATGAGGTCGTGATGTGGTCAGTACTTTTACTCATGTCATCAACACGTGTGCTGTTTGTTAGGCACTTGTGCGTCACTTGTCCTCTTTGTGTTACTTCATTCTTTTACTTGAACACATTTCAGAGGTAGATGTTGTACAAATGTACAGAACAGTAGAATCAGGAAATACTTTATTGATCCAAGAGGGGACATTGTGATTTGTGTTTATGTAATTATAAAGCAGTGAGATGGAAATAAAAATATGCATCATGCTACATTGTTTGAGGTAATAAGAATAACACATATATACTGTGTATTCACTGTTCTGAGTCTGTAAGTGTGTACAAATATATAGATATGTGCACTGTGCCACATTACACTGTAACTCTAGTGTTGCAATCAGACATATTAGGGATGCACGATAATATTGGTATGTCCTCAGTATTGGACGATATTTGCTTTAAAATGAACCAACATGCTTTTTTTTAATCCTCACAATGAATGAAAATCACATACAATAAAAAGTACTGTATTTCCTGTCTCCATCTGCTGCTGGGCCGTCACCATAAGAGTATGCATGTATAACATGAGGTTAATTCATCTACAGAGGAGACTTGATGATCACTAAAATTAGGTGGAGAAAAACGTGGATATATTGATATTGATTGATGTCAGTTATTGGTCAAATGAGTTGTTAGGCCTATATATTGGCATATCACATATCTGCAAAAAATCCAATACTGTGCATCCTGAAAATAAAAAATATATGTATTATGCTGTAATGGTTACTACAACATATATGTGTATGTATATATATCAATAGAATAAAGAGTAAATGTAATTAATTAACAACTTCCCACTTCAGATTTTAGCTTCTTGTACTTCACTGGAGTATTTTGATTTTCTACCACTTTGTTCTTCTACTCAGCTGCATTTCAGATAGAAATATTGTACCTTTTGCTCTTTGTTGGACAGCTGTTGCTTTGGTACACAAAGGAATAGCTTATGAAAAATCCCAGTAGTGAAACGTTGTCGAACATGAACATAACATATGAGACAGACTGTGTATCTGCATCGTTGTGTTGTCACATTCTTCTCAACATACTGCTGTAAAATTATAAAGTAGTGCACAATGGAAATACTTAGTAAAGTACAACAACATCAAAACTGTACTTAAAAGAGAGAAGGAGAGCTGTGTGTGTGTGTGTGTGTGTGTGTGTGTGTGTGTGAGAGAAAGGCATGTTCAGAATAGCAACAAGAACAAGAAACAAACAAAGTCTTCAGTTTAACTGAGAGCTCTGGACGTTCTCCAGAAAGGGGCCCACACCTTTTTTTTTTTTTTTTTTATCTGATTACCTGGTTGAGTGGTGAATCTATTCAAGATTAAGACAGGACATTATGTCCCTCAGCGAGGCTGCACGCCACTGTCTGATTAGAAGTGCCTGGTAGCAGATGGGTGAGAGACAGTGTGGAGTGTTGGGTCTGAGTCAGGTGTACATCATCCTCTGCAGTGGTGCCAAAGAGGGCAGTGTTGTGCTACCTCTTCATCAGTTGTAGCTGCTGAGATTGACTTTGTTCTGTAGACTGTAGGAAGCAATACGTTCTTGAGTGAGCTGTAAATATAAAACTAGAGTGCAAAAGTCCAGTATGTCCTTCTGTGAGGTCGTTTATGTATAAATCAGAATCAGAAATGCTTCACTGATCCCAGAGGGGAAATTGTGATTCATTACAGTCGCTCTGATGTAAAGAACAGAGAATGATAAGAAGTAAGAATAAGAGTGTGAAATAGAAGTATGTAAATATAAAGCAATAAAACAAAATAGAAATGAAAATGTGCATTGAAATAAAAATGTGCATTGTGCCACAGTGTCTATCAGAAGTACGTAAGACTTGCTCTTGAGTTGCTCTTGAGTGCAGCACATGAGGAAATGAACCTCACTAACAGTGTAACACAAACATCTGTTGTTCCAGGATCAGATTCAGCCTCCTGCAGTCTCACCCTGCACCAAAGGAAAATGAGGGAAGTGACAGCGTGTGCATTGTTCATCCTTCTCTTCGATGCCGTGCTGTGTGTGGCACTGTGGGCCGGACTGGTGCTGCTCAAGTGCTCCAGTTATGGTGGGCTGGAAGGTGTGTGGGCCTTTGGGGCAGCACGTTGGGCCAGTCTCCACGTTTTCACCTCCGTACTGACTGATGGAAAGCCCCAGGCCGTGCTCCGCAGGTGGGTGGCACTCCTCTGCCTTCTGTCTCCTGTGTTTGAGACTGGACGGGTCTTCATGGCACCTCCCTCAGAGCCTTACACGGGACCTTCACCTGACCCCAGCATGCTGCTCCTGGGCCCCGTGTCGTCGTCACTGGCCTGTGTGATTTGGGAGAAGGGCCTCTGCGGTGATTCAAAGCCGAGGAAAGACGACATTAAACTGAACGCCAGGCGGCTGCTGGTGAGGCTGCTGAAATACTTCAAACCAGACACCTTTTACCTGATCGCAGCTTTCACTTTCCTCATCTTGGGTGTCATCTGTAAGTATGAAATATACAGCATGCTTTATGCTTCATGTAGTGTACGTGCACATATGCCCTCTTAGCTGTACACACTGTATTCACTCTACACTTGCATTTAGAATACAAGAATACAGAAACCAGAGGATAAAGCAGATCCTGTATATTTCCTAAAGAAAAGACCAAACCAACAGTGTTAGTCCGTCTCTTCATAGATACAGTCAGTATTTATGGGAACGCCCACAAAACATCACATCCCATTACGCAGAGGTCCAGACCAGGGGTCCAGTATTAAGTGAGAGCAGGGGCCAGGCTGCAGTGTAACCACTCTGTGCCTGTTCATTCTGTCACTTTATGTCTTGTGCTGGTTTTTGCCACTGACAGGCTCAGATTATTATTATTATTAGTGTCTGACAGGATTACCGAAAGGACCCTACAGAGATAGACCAAGACCAGTACAGGTCTGTTTGTTAAAGAGCAACTTCCTTGTGTTACTCTTTGACAGTAATTTAACCCTGGAGCAACATGTAAGGAATGTAGTCCCGTCTTGTTTTTTCCAGCTGAGGAACATCTCCAACTGTAGCTGACAGAGAAAGTCATACATGCTATCAAATCCTCCCGCCTTGATCACTGTAACACTTTGTTCACCTGCCTGAACAGTCGAGCTCCTCATCAGCTCCAAATCGTTCAAAATTCAGCAGCTGGACTTTTGACTGATCCTCTCACATCACACCTGTTTTGGCCTCCCTGCATTGCTCCTGTCTCTCATAGAATCCATTTAAAGTTCTTATAATCACACACAAGGCTCTCAAAGACCTGGCACCAGAGTATATAACCGTCCAAACAGGCCCCTCAGGTCTGCTGGTCTGGGTCCTCTAACTGTTCCAGGGTCCAGGTTAAAGACAGACGGTGGTCGAGCCTTTTCAGTTTTGGATCAGCCTCCCACTGAACGTCAGATCAGCTGACTCTGTTCACGTCTTTAAACCTCGCCTGAAAACCTACTTTTACAGATCGGCCTTTCCTGACATTTAATAGACTTATTGTGTGTGTGTGTGTGTGTGTGTGTGTGTGTGTGTGTGTTTGTGTTTGTGTTTGCAGCCATGTGTGTATGTATGCATGCATACAGGCGTGTGTATATGCTTATGTTTTATTAGTGTCACTTTTGTTTTTCCTGCACCTTGGAAAACACTTTGTGCTGTCAGTATAAAAAGTGCTCTACAAATAAAATTTTTCTTCTATTTATTATTATTATTAGTTCAACCATAAACAGCTCTGAAAGACAAACTCACCAGACCCTGTTCAGAAAAAAAGAAATGTTATCATCTACCTTTACTCAGTCATTTACAGAGTCAACAGACACAAAACAAAACTCACAGAAACCGTCTCGGTTGAGAGAGATTGCTTTAGTACATTTACATTAAAGGTATTATGAAAACTGACACTCACATCACAGAAACATCTCGTAGATCATTTCCTGTTCACCTAATCTGTGTCATCTGTCTGTCCTGACAGGTGATACATACATCCCTCTGTATCAGGGGAGGGTTATTGATATGCTGAGAGGTGGAGCACATGAAACCAGCTTCTGTTCTGCAGTGGGACAGCTGGCTCTTATCTCTCTGGGAAGGTAATTAAATACAAAAATTTGTTGTCCTTTTGTGTTTTACAGTAAAATGTCACCACTCGTCTTCTGTCTGCTTAGAAAAATGTGATTTGTTTCATTTATGTGAAAAATAATGTGATGTCTCCATCTGAGCAGCGCTCTGTTCTCTGGCTTAAGAGGAGGCATATTTATGTGCACTCTGGCCAGACTGAACAAGAGACTGAAGCACCTACTGTTTCACACCCTCCTGCAGCAGGAAGTGCACTTCTTCGACGAGAACAACCCCGGTGAGAACAACATACTGAACATGTCTGCTGTCATGCTTCAGGGATTTACAGGGTCAAGAAATCTGTTGTTGTGGACACAACACTTTTTCCACATAGCCTAGACTACATGACAAAAGTGTGCCAATACATTAAATGTCTCATTCTGCCACAAACACATTAAACCCTTTTTGACTGAAGAAACTTTCCCCAGAGACGAGGAACCTTTGAGGAACTCATTTTGTCTCCAGGGTCTAAATGAAGGTTCAGGGACATTCAGTACTTCAGTGTGGTCATTTTCAGGGTGGGATGTGCAGGGATGAGTGTCACTGATTGGTCAAACACACACAGTGCTGCTGCTTTAGCTCTCAAGCACAAATAAATAACCATCACACATAATGAGAATTTCCTCCAAAAACCGCTGAAACTCTCTTGAACGTGGCCTTTTCTCCCTGTCACCACTCAGGCCGTCTTTCCTCCCGCCTGCACTCTGATGTGGACAGGATGGGCCGCACGGTCGCGCTGAACGCCAACGCACTGGTTCGCAGCACAGTCAAAACCTGCCTCATGCTCAGAGTGATGTTAGGTCTGTCCTGGGAGCTCACTGTGCTCACCTGCATAGAGATGCCGCTGCTGGCCGTCATTCAGAACAAATACATCACCTTGTCCCAGGTAGGTGTGATGAGTCAAGTCAATGAGTCAGTCAAGCCAAACATGTTATTTTGTTTTGTTGTCTCCACAGTGAACCAAACAAAATGAATGAATAGCAAACAGCAGCATGTCGGGTGGATTTAGTTACAGTTAGTTTAGGGAGAGTGAGACCAAAGGAAGACAGAGAGAACATTCATCAGTTCTTCTGAAAAGAATTAAAGAGAAGGAAAGGATTCAAACAGAAGCTCAGCAGCTGAAGGACTGTGTTTGTTAAAAGCTAAAATGACCTTAAATTGCACTGGAATATAAGATTGGTGGAACTGTGGTGCAACATGTGACGTTAAAGACAGGAAACTGAAGACAGATGAGCAGCACAGGTCAAGAAATCCTGAACATGTGATGTGCAGCATCATTCCTCGTTACTGAATCAGCCTGTATTCTGATTACTAAATTAATCTGTATTCTATTTATTGAATTAATCTGTATTCTGATTACTAAATTAATCTGTATTCTAATTATTGAATTAATCTGTATTCTGATTACTAAATTAATCTGTATTCTATTTATTGAATTAATCTGTATTCTGATTACTAAATTAATCTGTATTCTGTGTCAAACAGGACCTGAAAGATCAGATCCAGGACTGCCAAGCTCAGAACAAAGACCTGGCTTTCCAGACGATCAGCAAGATTCAAACGGTCCGAAGCTTCAACGCAGAGAAAGATGAACTGAGGAGGTATAACGAGGCTCTGGACCAAATGTCCGCTGTGAAGACACGTTCAGGAATCTACAGTGTCGTCTTCGGCTTTATACGAAGGGTAAGGTGGCAGCACGATGCGTTCATGAGTCATATCAGTCGACTTATCTTGGAAGCACCAGAATGTTTTGAGGTTTGAACTCAGTGTGTGGAGGAGGCCCATTTAGTAAAAGAAAAACATGCGATATACATTTATCATGAGATATTTAAAAAAAAAAAAAAAATCACATTTATATTGTGACTTTTAAATCAGAATGTGAGATATTAACTAAGTTCAACTTTCTTAATCAAAATTATAGGATTAAATCTTTTTTAACTTACAAGGTTAAAACAGTGTGATACTACGACAGAGTATTAGGGCCACATTGAAGAAAAAAAATTCGGAGACTTCGAGAATAAAGTCGTAACTGAGAAAAAGTCGTAATATTACGACTTTATTCTCGAAATTTTTTTTCTTCAATGTGGCCCTAATGCTCTGTTGTATGATACAATAAGTCCTAATTACAATTAATATTAAATTTGACATATTTTAAGTCAGAACTATAAAAAAGTGGCAGAAGTTTTACTTTCAATATAAAATATATCCATTTGTCCATTTTCAACCGCGTCTCCGAAGCCTGGTCGCGGGGGCAGCAGGCTGAGCAAAGTATTTCAGACTTCCCTCTCCCCAGCTACCCTCTCCAGCTCCTCCTGGAGGACCCCGAGGCGTTCCCAGCGTGCTCTTGGTCTCCTACCAGTGGGACGTGCCCAGAACACCTCCAGCAGGAGGCGCCCAGGAGGATCCTGATCAGATGTTGAACCACCTCAACATGAAGGAG